CCCCCCCCCCCCCTCCTCGTCTCTTCCCTCAAGGAGGATCGCCGCTTTGCCGTACAATACCTTCCGCCCCCCCCCCCCTCCCTACTATTCCGCGCTCGATGTTCTCACCCGTTCTCAATGCCGATGAGGTCGTCGATCAAGCCCTCGTAAGTCAAAGGCGTCGCCATCGCGGTGACGAGATCAACCCCCCTGATAGATTGTGGATTCATCGTTCCGACAAGAAATGGACAGCGGCAAGGCCAAATATTCGGCGGGTCAACAAAAATTACGAAACGGGAGGTAAAAGATCCAGCGGTCGGCTTGTGATGACACGAATCCTCAACAGAGGTACGGCTGGTCAAAAGGCAAGATGAGCTACAGGCAGTATTGTAACTGACGAAACAAATATCTGGCGTGCAAGGTATTAAAGGGACAAAACAATAGATCTGACGGATGACGAAGGACAGGCACAAATTTATAAACATCTGGCGAACAATAACGGTAAATAGACTAAAGATAGACATATAAAACTGATTAGTAAACATCCCATGTTGGCCGTCGGAAACTGCATAAAGGCGCGTGTCAAATGCTTGTGTGAGAATCCGGCATGCAGGTGTACAGCAACAGCAGCAACAACAATGTCATGCGGTAGATGTCGGCTAAACAGATACTTCTACCTAAATGACCTATCACGGTCGACGGCGTTAGCATGGCCGGGAACGCGGGATGTCGTGAACCTCAACTGCTGTCGCGTCTAGTACAACATGTAGGAGGTCTCGCAAGGAGCGCGTCGCTACCTATCGGGATGTTTCCCCTCGCGCAAGACATGGTGTTGGAGTGCGCACTTGCGACAACGGCGGCCGACCATTCTATCATGCGCGACCCCTCCCACGATCGGCACAACATGCTCGTCAACCGGCATATAATGCTCCGCACAAACCACAATCGCCACCACTACCATCTCCATTACCACCACCACCAACAACAACAGCAACAACAAGGAACAACAACAAAAGAGGCATAAGACAAGGGGCGAGACGCACCGATCGAGAAGGATGAGCGTGTCGATACCGGGGGCACTGGATATCCCTCCCGCCCCGAACTCGCCCCCTTCCCCCGCCCTTTCCGCTCCCGCCTCCTCCCTCCGCATGCGCATCGCTCGGTGCAGGCAAGCGACCGCCGCCGTTCCCTTTGCCTTAACGTTGGGTATTGTGCCGAAGACCTTGACAGGCGTTATGAGGAGAGGCGAAGGGCGGGGGGACACACACCACCCGACGTGGTTGGGTGGCTTGAACGTGTGAGCAAAGATATGAACGAAAAATGCCAAGACTCTCGACAACCACCTCAAAAGATAGACAGGACGGAAACATCACCAGAGCACGTCAAAAGGTATCATCAAAAGAAGAAAACAGCATCAGCAGCAACGAAACATGTTCACATACCGTCTGCAGCTTCTGCACGGAGCGAGCGACCACCGATAGCCCCGATGTGTCTCCATCCAGGTGCACCTGCGTAACAGCAGCAGCAGCAGCAGCAGCAACAACAACAACAACAACAAACGTGCGGAACTAGATCAGAGACACAGAGACACAGGCTTGACATTCTACTCGCACGTTCGCCACTGCTACATATTCCGCTGACTACCGTAGTTGTCGGAGAGATGGCACCCCCGTGTTATTTACCGTTAACACGAAGGGTGCCATCTCTCAGACTCTTACGGTACACGAAGAAAAAATAGGGGCGCCAGCACCAGCACCAACAGCGACCGCAACTGCAACACGTGAACAAACACATGACACGAAACTTCATGCAGCAAGCACGGAGAGGCGATCGATAATCACCTGGCACACACAAACACTTGCCTGTCTAAACACGCTTACATATCGCCCAACGAACAGTGCACAAGGGCAGAGGTAACGCATGCACTCTCTCACTCTCGTGCTTACCGGCGGCACCAACACACACTCCATACCCCCAAAAAATCCCTGCCGTGCACGGTGAACTAACAACACCACCTACTTGTGCCCGAAGCCCCCCCCCCCCCTCCCAAGGTCTAACTGCTCAGGCATGCAAACAATGAGTACGCCCCCCGCCCCGCCCCCCCCCCCAACCCAACGTGCCTGAAAACATTCAGCCGATGGCGCCTTTGCGGATTCGTCACGTCGACTGCTGTGTACTTGGCTGCCTGGCAACGGATAACGGAGGCGGCAAAATCGTCCTCTTGCTCAAATTTGGCATGCATACACCACTTACTCTCCGGAAGAGGCCGTCGAGCTCGAGGCTGAGAACATCCTTCTCGAGCGGAACGAGGTCCAGGGGGTAGTCTCCCACGTCCACTCTGCGGAGCACCCGTTCCTCTTGCAAGACCTGCCCGGTGGTTGCGCAACAGCAGTGGCATCGTCATCATCATCATCAGCAGCAGCAGCAGCAGCAGCAGCAGCAACAACAACAACAACAACAATAGCAACAGCGATAGCAGCAGCAGCAACGCATGCGGAGAAGCAAAACCGGCACGCTCGCCAACAGAAGCTAGAATATGGCAAACTGGTATGCACAGCCGCCAAAAACAATGCTAACAACAGCAGTAGCAGGGCATGCGAAGCACCTCGAAAATGATGCAACTCCTTCATACACATGCATACCTGCTCACAGATGAGCGTGCGATGCGGCACGAAGTAAACCTAGTTGGCATGGCAGGGGCGTGCACGGTAGATGGTGCGAGGGGGGCGGGGGGGGTTGAGACGAGAAAATAACAAGTGGTGCACCCATTTTCCTGAACGTCGTGTATGTCCGGCGCTGCTTCAGGATTTTCGCGGCCTTCTCTCGAACCTGGATTGGTCGGTTGGAAGACTCCCCTTACCCACTCATGAACTGTGAAGGCACACTACTGTTGTCGTTCCAGCGTCTCTTGTCACCTCCTGCCTCCACATCTACAACGGAGAGAATGATACCGAAATGCCGTAAACCCTGGGTTGCACGGATGTGCACGAATGTGGTACGTGGTACGTGTTATGTGGTACGTGGTATTACCTTATACCGGAAGTCGAAGGCTGCTCCAGCCTTGATCCTGGAGTTGATTTGGTCCGCGATGATCTTCACGTTCGGAATCGACGCCCGTACCTGCGCGATGAAAACAACACATTGCTGTTGCTGTTGCTTTTGTTGCTGTTGCTATTGTTGCTATTGTTGCTATTGTTGCTATTGTTGCTATTGTTGCTATTGTTGCTATTGTTGCTATTGTTGCTATT